CGCAGCAGAGGAATCTTTGAGCGAACTGAGAGCATGCGCGCACGCGCATGCTCAGCCAGCCGCAGCAGAGGAATCTTTGAGCGAACTGAGAACATGCGCGCACGCGCATGTTCAGCCAGCCGCAGCAGAGGAATCTTTGAGCGAACTGAGAGCATGCGCGCACGCGCATGCTCAGCCAGCCGCAGCAGAGGAATCTTTGAGCGAACTGAGAACATGCGCGCACGCGCATGTTCAGCCAGCCGCAGCAGAGGAATCTTTGAGCGAACTGAGAGCATGCGCGCACGCGCATGCTCAGCCAGCCGCAGCAGAGGAAACTTTGAGCGAACTGAGAACATGCGCGCACGCGCATGTTCAGCCAGCCGCAGCAGAGGAATCTTTGAGCGAACTGAGAATATGAGCGCACGCTCATATTCAGCCAGACGCTGAAGCAAGGAATCTTTGAGCGTTTGAGGAAAGTGCGTGCCGCCACCAGAATCTTATTGCTTACTTGCTTTGCTGGGAGCTTACGAGGAAGCCGGTAGACGTTGTGCTGCCATGATAGCGGTCGCATCTGGCCTGATGTAGGTGGAGAAGCCGAAGAGGACCAGCGCCCCAGCCGTTGCAGAGGAAGAGTGGGGGAGCCCCAGCGAGGTCGCGCGCGTGGCAGCGCCTATCCTGAAGGAGTGGGCTGTATAGAGCTGGGGAGACAAATTGCAGAGGAGCAGTAGGGATCTTAGCTGAGCTCTGAACCAGGTTGCTGTTATGGGAAGGTTGACTGGAGTGAGAATTAGAGGTCCGTTAAAATCTCCTTTTTGCCGCGGAGGCGAGTGTAACGCATCATGGACCTGTAGGGGCAGAGAGATGTGTCGAAGCGAGCTATTATTGTATTGCAGGCGCCTCTGATCTTTGAATGTTTGAGATGAAGGTTGAATGGTCAGGGGACATTATGTTGGGTGAGAAGAGCGACCTTTGTTTAATGCTTCCACTACGTCGAGATGATCACGCATGACAGAGATCCTCTTTCTCTGCCACGTGTGATTCCGCAGCGCGCAGGCCACGACCACTGGAAATGTCTCGTGTAGGGCAGAGGAAATGCTCCGGGGAAAGTAGCGGGCCACGGCCGGCGAACCACTGGTCCTGGAAGAATCCCCCAAAAACCCACGGAAGGGGCAGCGTCCGTGTAGAAGCGGAGACCTGTAGGGGCAGAGAGACACACCGGAGAGGGCCATTGATGTTGCAGGCGCCTTTACGCTTAGAATCTTGGGTTGGAGAGTAGATAATTAGGCCAGTAGGATAGGACGGGAAGCCGTGTCTCGGACCGCATTGAAGGTTGAGTGAGCAGTGGTGAAACGCTTATGCAGAGAAGCCACAGAAGGCGAGCAGAAGATGCTGCGAGGAGGGCAGACATGTACTTGGAAGATGAGCCGGAGTTCAGCGCCGCTGCAGGATGGGCAGCATGATGGGGAGCCTGTGATCAGAAGAGTGAAGAACCAGGTATGGATGCCTTTGATTAGGAGTCCGATTGACGGCTCAGCGCAGCTACTTGGCCAGCTGCATCTGATAGAATCAGGAGATTCAGTAGAGAGATGAAGCACGACCGCCGAAGCGACCCTGGGAGCATTGGTGCGAGTCCGGCGCAGCGCGGCATACTCAGCCGGGCTGCATCCATTAGAAGCAGGATAAGCTTCTGAGAGAATGGGTTGCAGTAGCAGTAGCAGCAGCGGCAGCAGCAGTAGCCTCAGATAATAACAGCAAAGTCCTGTATCAAGCCGCGGCAGCAGCAGTAGCAGCGTCCTTAGAAAATAACAGTAATAATTCTGTATCAAAGCCACAGCAGTAGAATGTTGTTGTAGCTGTTCAGGGTTTCAGTAAAAGAGATGCGAAGTGAAGAGAGATGGCAAAGTAAATGAAGCAGCAGCAGTAGCAGCAGTAGCCGTATGAAGCAGCAGCAGTAGCAGTATGAAGCAGCAGCAGCAGTAGCAGTGTGAAGCAGCAGCAGCTGCAGCATCCGTCGATAATAGCAGCAATAATCCTGTATCAAAGCCAGAGCAGTAGAATATTGTTGTAGCCGTTTAGTGTTTCAGTAAAAGAGATGCGAAGTGAAGAGGGATGTCAAAGTACATGAAGCAGCAGCAGCAGCGCAGCAGTAGCAGCAGCAGTAACGGTAGCAGTATGAAGCAGCAGAAGCAGCATTAGCAGTAGCAGCAGTAGCAGTATGAAGCAGCAGCGGTTGCAGCATCCGTAGATAATAACAGCCATAATCCTGTATCAAAGCCAGAGCAGTAGAATATTGTTGTAGCTGTTTAGTGTTTCAGTAAAAGAGATGCGAAGTGAAGAGAGATGTCAAGTACATGAAGCAGCAGCAGCACGGCAGCAGATGCAGTATGAAGCAGCAGCGGCAGCAGTAACGGTAGCAGCATGAAGCAGCAGCAGCAGCAGCGGTTGCAGCATCCGTAGATAATAACAGCAATAATCCTGTATCAAGCCACCGCAGTAGAATATAGTTGAAGCTGTTTAGTGTTTCAGTAAAAGAGATGCGCAGTGAAGAGAGGTGTCAAAGTAAAGAAGCAGCAGCAGCACGGCAGCAGATGCAGTATGAAGCAGCAGCGGCAGCAATAGCAGCAGTAGCGGCAGCAGAAGCAGCAAGCAGCAGCAGCACAATGCAATTCATACGAACAACAGACGTGTCACGCCAGCGTGCGCCGCTTGTCTCCGTGAGCCAGGTTACGTACGTGTCTGAAGAGCCGAGCCGTAGAGACAGGTGCAGCCTGGGAGCCTGCGGAGCGGCAGCGGCAGGAACAGCAGCAGCGGCACATGTAGTAGTAGGAGCAGCAGGAGCAGGCAGCCGGGACAGGCAGCAGCGGGAACAGGCAGCAGCGGGATCAGGCATCAGTAGGAACGGCAGCAGGGACCGCAGCAGCGGCGGTCAGAGAACCATGCCCACGGTTGTTTAAGAGCCTGAGGAAATAAATCAACCCGAATCCGAAACATTCCCATGCGAGAAACAGATGTCCCCTGGAGCCATCTTGCTGCTTTGGTTATGGCAGATACGCATGAACGATCACTGATCCATGCGTTTATAGCTACAGCTCCACTTCAAACCCATTGCATATTCACATTGGGCCCCTTTTCTTTCTGCTGCACTTTCGAAATGCAACAACTGCAGTTTAGTTACCCAGTTTAATACTAGTGACCTAGCTATTTAAATGCATGGCCCCTCCTTCCTCCTGCAGATAGACGAATTTAAATACATCATTTAACAATAGTGACTTGCGAGTAATGAGATTGATGCTGTAAAGATGGCGCCGTGGCAAGAGCTCTGTGTGTGCCGTCTGGAGCACGATGGGGTAGTCTTTGCACATTTTTTCCAACGTGGTTTTACTGCAAGTGGCAGAACATGAATCTGAATTAATGCACATTGCTCCTCTTATATCCCTCAGACATTGGAGATTGATGCCATTTAAGATGCATTGACCCTCAGTTAGCTCAACACGTGTAAAACGGAGCCTGCAGACCAAGCACGGGCGAAGACTGACGCCTGCAGTCAAGTGCGTAGGGCAAAAAACCAGCCACCTGCAGCCTAGACTCCGGGATTAAACTGTCCGCGGTCGGCACTCTCACTGTACTCACGTGCCAGGAGACTTGGGAAAGCAACGGGACAACGCGGCACCGCCAGTCGGAGGCAGGGACATGCACGGCACCGCCAGACCGTCTGCGCGCGGCAGCAGACCACGAGGAACGAGCAGCACAGAACCGCGGAGGGGCCCCGCGGAGCAGCCCGCAGAAAGAGCCCGCAGAGGAGGAGAGCAGTGGAGACACGCAAACCACAGCAGGTGCAGGGACGCGGAGGAGGAGCAGACCACGAGCAGCCAGACTGAGGACAGCCGGGCCACGCGCACGAGCAACACGTGAGCAGAAGCGACCCCTCCAGAACAACGCATGCATTTGCGAACAGGTGCGTTAGCGACATGCACCTTGCAGGCTTCAGAAGCTTGCAGACTTCAGAAGATCGGGAAGTGGGCGTCTCCGGCTTTTAACTTGCTGTCCTGGTGGTTATTGGTTGACTGGGTGTGGGCGTTGCTGGTATTGATGAGTCGAGGAATAGCAGCCTGTGGCCTGGCAGCAACAGCCGGGTCTACCACGGTGAACTTTCGCGAAAGCTCCATTTTCAGTTTTGTCTGTGTATTGCTGAAGGAAGTAGTTTTGCGAGTGAGTCCTCTGGGGCATGTTCTCCTGCAGTTAGAGACATAGATCTCTTTGTTTCTGCGTATTAACCAGTGTGGGCGGGTTTCGGCTCAAAAGTGTCCAAAATGACGTGCGCTGACATGCTGCAATACCACCCCGGGCCTGTGGGGGTGGACCCAGAAGTAGAATTAGCTAATGCTAACATATAGCGTTGGCAGACCTCTCAAACGTCTTTACAGGATGGTCCAAAAGTTGGCTCTTGGTCCAAAGCTCCGTTCCACATGTGTGTCAATGCTGAGGGAGTGTTTTGGTCCACTCTAGTTTAGTCGCTGTGAATTTTTGAAGTCTCTCGTTCAAATGAATGGAGCTCTCTCCGGCTGACGCATGCGCAGATGCGTTTTTTCACTATTTTCTTGTGGGCGGGACCACTCGCGGCCATTTTGGATAGCTCCAGTAGAGCACATTTTTTGGCCCATTAGTTAGAACGGGGGAGATAGGTGTGACTCTGTCCATTGATATATACAGTCTATGGTATTAACTGACCTAACAGCAGCATGTAGAGACTGAACAGAAGAGGTCCCAGGATCGACCCCTGTGGGACTCCTCAGGTCAGGGCCATATGCTCCTGCTGCTTCCCTGTTTCTATAATGACGGAATGAAGTGGCTGGACTCCTGAGATCTGAACCAAGTAAAGGTGAAGCTGTTATTGTGATGTCACATGTGTCGTTAAAAATGCAGTGATGTGGTGAGGGGCGTCGACCGCAGGCAGACTGGGAAAAGGATTCAGTCTCTAACGGTTTGTTCTTGTGTTGTTGCAGTGGGACTCTATCAACGAGATGGATGAGTACTTTGCCCCCATCCACACGTATCAAGTAAGTCACAATTATCTTTATCATGTTTATTAATTATGGATATTATGTTTATTATGTTGTACATCATGGATCTTATGTGTTTTACAAAAAGAAGATTCAATATAAATGTAAAATCTGTTGTGATTTGTATGAACTAAGGAGACAATCACCAATAAGTTCTACTCACCTCTTGAAAGGAACAGAGTGAGAGAGACCAGAAAGAGACCAGAGAGAGACCAGAAAGAGACCAGAGAGAGACCAGAAAGAGACCAGAGATAAACCAGAAAGAGACCAGAGAGAGACCAGAGAAAGAGACCAGAAAGAGACCAGAGAGAGACCAGAGAGAGACTAGAGAGAGACCAGAGAGAGACTAGAGAGACCAGAGAGAGACCAGACAGAGACCAGAGAGAGAGACCAGAAAGAGACCGGAGAGAGACCAGAGAGAGAGAGACCAGAAAGAGACCAGAGAGAGAGACCAGAAAGAGACCAGAGAGAGAGACCAGAAAGAGACCAGAGAGAGAGATCAGAAAGATACCAGAGAGAGACCAGAGAGAGAGACCAGAAAGATACAAGAGAGAGACCAGAGAGAGAGACCAGAAAGAGACCAGAGAGAGAGATCAGAAAGATACAAGAGAGAGACCAGAGAGAGAGACCAGAAAAAAACCAGAGAGAGACTAGAAAGAGACCAGAAAGAGACCAGAAAGAGACTAGAGAGAGACCAGAGAGAGACCAGAAAGAGACCAGAGAGAGACCAGAAAGAGACCAGAAAGAGACCAGAGAGAGACTAGAGAGACCAGAGAGAGACTAGAGAGACCAGAGAGAGACTAGAGAGACCAGAAAGAGACCAGAGAGAGACTAGAGAGAGACCAGAGAGAGACTAGAGAGACCAGAGAGAGACCAGAGAGAGACCAGAGACGGGTCCGTACAGTGACTGTGTTGAACTGTGCAGGTGTGTAATGTGATGAGTCCCAGTCAGAACAACTGGCTGAGGACCGGCTGGATCCTGAGAGAAGGAGCCAGAAGGATCTACATCGAGGTCAAGTTCACGCTGAGAGACTGCAACAGTATGCCAGGAGTCCTGGGCACCTGCAAGGTGGGTTTCTCACTCGCTCCTTACTCATCTGTGGATCATAATGTCACCAGTTCTGAAGAATCACAGCTGTAAAATGAGCTTTAAAGGAGCAGTGTGTAAACATGTGGCCGAAAGTGGTACTGCAGCCTCTCCCACTCTCCCTGACTCAGGTTGCCAGATATGCAGACGAATCCAGCTGGGACCATAACAGCTGAATAGACAAGAGTTTTGTCAACAACAAATCTATAACCAACACCTTTTTCACAAAGATAGAAATCCTGGTTTTATTCCTTGTTTTGTCGTTAATGATTTGAGAATCATAACGAGACCTTTTTTAGTTCTGCACCACATGGTACTTATTATGATTATGGCCCTTTAATTATGACAGATTAGGCCCCTAAATTTTACATATTGATACTTTAAGAAGGCTGTGAAGTTTGACAGATAGATTTCTGCATTGATTTGAGCGGCCTCGGTTGAAATGAAAGAGAAGTCACCTCAGGGACTGCAGGTGTAGATTAGCTTTGCTGCTAAAACCTGCTGCGATGCGGCTCTCTTTATGGATAAAGTTTATTGTACACAGTCTCTGTAAAAGTCAAACCAAACCAAAAGTGTTCAGGTTTGTTGTTGTCCGAAGCAAAGACACTAGCGGTGCACCAGTAAATCAGTCCGCCGGAACTCATCTCATGCAGAAAGGTTCCACGGTGCGCATTAAAATAATAATGATTAAAAAAAATAATAATAATACATGTAACTTATATAGCGCTTTTTTGGACACTCAAAGACGCTTTACCAAACATATAAAATAAACAGAGCAAAATTTAGTAAAGGCTGAAACAGGTTGGTTCTGAGAAGTGAAAAATATCAATATGTAAGATTTTCATGTCAAGTCCTCATTAAAGGGCCCTAATCTGTCACAATAATAAACGTTTCTAATGCTTCTTTAACTGATAACGGTAGTTCAGAGATATTTGAATTTCAACATTCGTTTTACATCCCCTAAATCTTTATTATTCGTCTGCATATCTGGCAACCTGAGTCAGGGAGAGTGGGAGGGGCTGCAGTACCACTTTTGGCCACATGTTTAAAAACTGCTCCTCTAAAGTTCTGTAGTGAGGGGGAGTTTCTGATGGTTGTGGGAGTTCCAGAGAGTACAGAAAAATGAATTCCTCTTTATGAATGCATTAACGTCCTGTCCCTGTGTAGGAGACCTTTAACCTGTACTACCTGGAGTCGGACCGAGCCGTGGGATCCTCCATCAGAGAAAACCAGTTCACCAAGATCGACACCATCGCTGCAGACGAGAGCTTCACTGGTGTGGACCTGGGAGTGCGGAGGCTCAAACTCAACAAAGAGGTAGATTCACACATGAGTGCATCTGTCCATGCACAGTTACAACAACAGCAGCTGCTCCAAGGGTTTCGCAGGATCGAAAGATTAAAGGAAATAAAACAGAGAGAGACCAGAGAGAGACCAGAGAGAGAGACCAGAGAGAGACCAGAGAGACCAGAGAGAGACCAGAGAGAGAGACCAGAGAGAGAGACCAGAGAGAGACCAGAGAGAGACCAGAGAGAGAGACTAGAGAGAGACCAGAGAGAGACCAGAGAGAGACCAGAGAGAGAGACTAGAGAGAGACCAGAGAGAGACCAGAGAGAGAGACTAGAGAGAGACCAGAGAGAGACCAGAGAGAGACCAGAGAGAGAGACCAGAGAGAGACCAGAGAGAGAGACTAGAGAGAGACCAGAGAGAGACCAGAGAGAGAGACTAGAGAGACCAGACAGAGACCAGAAAAAGAGACTGGAGAGAGACCAGAGAGACCAGACAGAGACCAGAGAGAGACCAGAGCAGAGACCAGAGCAGAGACCAGAGCAGAGACCAGAGAGAGACCAGAGCAGAGACCAGAGCAGAGACCAGAAAAAGAGACTGGAGAGAGAGACCAGAGAGAGACCAGACAGAGACCAGAGAGAGACCAGAGCAGAGACCAGAGAGAGACCAGAGCAGAGACCAGACAGAGACCAGAAAAAGAGACTGGAGAGAGAGACCAGAGAGACCAGAAAAAGAGACTGGAGAGAGAGACCAGACCGTAGACAGCAACAGGAAGCTAACCCTAACCCAGCACATGTGTATACATACATAACTAATCTACGACCTACCTTCTCCTTATGAAAGACATCCATGAGAGTGATCAGCCTCGCTCCAACAAATCCACTCTTTATCAGACTAAAAATCTTAAAATCAGAATCAGAATCATTTTTATTGCCACGTAAGTAACAGGAGGTCACAGACTTGGAAACAGCTTTGGCTCAGTGCAACAGTCAGAAAGAGATAATAAAAATAAGAATAAAAAACACTTCTAAAGAATAAATTTACATTTAAAATAGAGTTACAGTTACAGTTACAGTATACAAGTGCAAGGGTTCGAATCCCGGTCAGAACTCTGTGGAGTTTACATGTTCTCCCTGTGTCTGCGTAGGTTTCCTCCGGGTGCTCCGGTTTTTGACTTGTTTCCATCACTATTTTTTGTTTCTTAAGTGATACTTTCATTTTAAACCAGACCATTTTTTTCTCAAGTTAAATGTTTAGAAAAGAATTCAAGTAAACCATCACGTTATACATTTTTCAAGGTCATTTAAATTTGTATGGATTATTTTTCTTTTTAAAGTTAGTGATTTCTTGATGTGTTAATGTGAATCTCTGACTTTTATTTTCTGTTTCTGAGTCACAGAAATATCCAATCAGAGGCTCATTCGGTCGCGTCAATCTTTCCTTTTGATTTTTTCTAAACTATCTCTTTGATTTGTCAGTGTTTGAAATATAATCTATGATAGTAATTTTAGTTTTTAGTTATAACCTTTTAAAGTCCAGATACTTGAATTGTTATTTTCCAGTGAATAGACTCAGAAACATGTGGATGTCCGGTATAAAGAAATAAATGACTTATTACTAAAAACCTATTCACTTTCAACCCGTTAATGGAGATTATTATGACGAGTCTCCTGAAGCGACACCGATCCTTTCGCTTCCCTGATGTTTGCTCTTTACCAAAACAAAGCAGATAATTCAGTTTGGAGAGGCCCGGGAGCACAGCTGGCAGTCGGATACTATTCTGTGATGAATTTAATCTCATGGAAAATGACAGCGTAAAGAACCAAAAGAATTTTAATGGTTGAATATCAGTGTGTTGTGTGTAATTGTATTTAGCAGCAACACCGCGGGTTCCTTCCCCACGTCCTCCTCCTCCCACAGCACTGCAAAAACTAAAAATATGAGGCAATAATCGTCGAACCCAGGGGTGTCCAAACATTTAAGTAAGAGGCCAGTTTAGTTCAGCAGACGAGTCCAGGGCCCGACATCACGAACTGAAAAACTGTCTTGACTGACGTTGAGCTGTTCTGAGGTTTATGATGATCTTTAACAGAGCTGAAGTTGGCTGAATGACACAGGTTTACCATCTCCCCCGCTCACAAGTCAACAACTGAATTCCTGACGTACAGGGTCTATATGGTCTGAGCTGAAGTTGGATGGATGACACAGTGAACTTATTGTGGGTTATTAAGGCAGAAGGCCACATACAATGACACTGAGGGCCGTGATTGGCCCCGGGCCTGAGTTTGGCCGTGTTTGCATTAATCCTTTAAGAAGCTAGACCCGATTTATTTTCTGATGAGTTTATAAAATCCGTAATTTAATGTAAAACTTGAGCTCATTGATTCAGCTGTGGAAGAATTCAGGCGTAAAAAGTGCTGAGTAGAGACTTAGCGTGACGCCCGCTCTCCTCCAATCACAGAACGAGGCTGCGTCCTCTAGCCTCTACAGCGCTGCTAAACACAGTAGCATGTTAGCATAAGTGGCTATAACTCCTCTGGCTGTAACTGCAGACACAGCAAAACAGCCCAAACCACACAACAGTGAGGAAGAGAAGAGGAACTAAAGCCACAACATGATCAAAGAAGAAACCAAGCCCTGAACAGAGCTAGCTTACATCGTATCCTCTGGAGAGACTTGTCTGAGGGAGAGACCTGCGGGACCGCCTCGGACTATCTACGCTCGGACTATCTACGCTCGGACTATCTACGCTCGGACTATCTACGCTCGGACTATCTCTGCTCGGACTATCTACGCTCGGACTGTCTACGCTCGAACTATCTACGCTCGGACTATCTACGCTCGGACTGTCTACGCTCAAACTATCTACGCTCGAACTATCTACGCTCGGACTATCTACGCTCGGACTATCTACGCTCGGACTGTCTACGCTCGGACTATCTGCGCTCGGACTATCTACGCTCGGACTATCTACGCTCGGACTATCTGCGCTCGGGCTATCTACGCTCGGACTATCTGCGCTCGGACTATCTACGCTCGGACTATCTACGCTCGGACTATCTACGCTCGGACTATCTATGCCCGGACTATCTACGCTCGGACTGTCTACGCTCGGACTGTCTACGCTCGGACTATCTATGCCCGGACTATCTACGCTCGGACTATCTACGCTCGGACTGTCTACGCTCGGACTGTCTACGCTCGGACTATCTACGCTCGGACTATCTACGCTCGGACTGTCTACGCTCGGACTATCTACGCTCGGACTATCTATGCTCGGACTGTCTACGCTCGGACTATCTACGCTCGGACTATCTATGCTCGGACTATCTACACTCTGACTATCTACGCTCGGACTATCTACGCTCGGACTGTCTACGCTCGGACTGTCTACGCTCGGACTATCTACGCTCGGACTATCTACGCTCGGACTATCTACGCTCGGACTATCTACGCTCGGACTGTCTACGCTCGGCCTGTCTACGCTCGGACTGTCTACGCTCGGACTGTCTACGCTCGGACTATCTGCGCTCGGACTATCTACGCTCGGACTATCTGCGCTCGGACTATCTACGCTCGGACTATCTACGCTCGGACTATCTACGCTCGGCCTGTCTACGCTCGGACTGTCTACGCTCGGACTATCTACGCTCGGACTATCTACGCTCGGCCTGTCTACGCTCGGACTGTCTACGCTCGGACTGTCTACGCTCGGACTATCTGCGCTCGGACTATCTACGCTCAGACTATCTGCGCTCGGACTATCTACGCTCGGACTATCTACGCTCGGACTATCTACGCTCGGGCTATCTACGCTCGGACTATCTACGCTCGGACTATCTACGCTCGCGAACTATCTACGCTCGGACTATCTACGCTCGGACTATCTACGCTCGGACTATCTACGCTCGGACTATCTACGCTCAGACTATCTACGCTCGGACTATCTACGCTCGGACTATCTGCGTTCGGACTATCTACGCTCGGACTATCTACGCTCGGACTATCTACGCTCGGACTATCTACGCTCGGACTATCTACGCTCGGACTATCTACGCTCGGATCATATTTGGAAGTTGAAGAAATGCGCACACTGCACAAAGTGATGAAAAAAATAGGTTAAAAACTGCTCAAATTTGGCAAAATGTGTCTTAATCTGAGCACATTCTGACCAAGCCTTAAAACCAGATTCTCCAATGGGACAAAACAAAATTATTAAAAAGAAATCAGATTAAATGTCTTTGTCCCGTTTTAAGTCAGAATGAGTCAGATTAAGATAAAAACCACTCGATCCATGCAGTTATTACCTCATATTTGATCATTTTATTCTTGTTTTAATGTAAAGTGAACATGTGAGAGGATGTCGTCGCTGTGTATTTGTAAAAACGCTGATTAGTCTTTCATTCCTCTTTAAACTCAGTGTGTGATGTCAGCGCAGAACACTCGTGAAAGTCTCTCTGTGTGATTTTAGCGTCGGCAAAGCTCCCGCTGAGACGAGGAATGGACTAAATCTGCTCCAACAGCGTCTTATTAAGCCACATATGTTTGTCTCCTGACGTGCACTTGATAAAGTGATAAAACACACTGATTAAAAGTCCACAGAAACACACGGCTCCTGATTAGTTTGTAATTAGCTGCGTCTTTCTGAGTCAAACTGACAACGAGGAATCTCTTCATCATCTCCATCCATCAAATCTGTCGAGAACAAACCGGAGCAAAAGACTTCAGCGAGTCAGGAATGAACAACATGCAAAAAGTGACGGAAAAACAGTCAAAAAGTGCTCAAAATCTGTAAAATATATCTTATTTTGGCTCATTCTGACTGAGACTACAACACGATTTAACGAAGGGACAAAGCAAAAAGAAACATATAAAGCAAAAGTTATTGAAATAAAACTAAATGCCTTTGTCCCATCGGAGAATCCTGTTTTAACTCTTTAACGTTCACTCCTTGGAAGAGAAAAAAAATAAGACATAGCTAGGATTCTTTTTTTTTTCAAATGGTTAAAATGTGGTTTGATGTAAAAATGACCAAAACCAAGTGATAGTGAAGCAACAATGAGGTAGATTTCAGATCCAAGCTTCAAGTAGAAATAGTGACTCACAAAACGGTCCGACGGATATTTGAGGAAACCATTAAAGGGTTAAAACCAGTGTGGGAGGGTCCCAGCTCAAAAGTGGTCAAAATGAACAGTCAGAATTCACTCAGATTAAGATAAAAACAACAGATGACAATACCATGGGGTTGCACGCGTTGCCATGGTGATCCGGTAGTCTGCAGCAAAAAGGCTAGCGGTTAGCAAGGTAACGGCAGACTGATGTCGGCCGTACGGCAGTTTTTTTTAAGTAAACAAGTGAAAAGAGTAAAGCAGAGTGTACGTTGTGTAAAACTGTCAGAAAGAGGACTCAAAACAAACACATATAAAACCAGCGACTGATCGAACATCTGAAATCTCACCTCCGCACAGAGTTAGCACCTTTGCTAGCACTAAAGCTAACACCGGAGCTATTGCTATGTACCATTTGGAATATGACAGTGGCACTTATTGTTGGCTGTTAAAATAAATCGTTAAAATGTTTAATTGTGGCATTTTGTTATCGTTGAAATGAGAAATAAAACATTTTAATTTCAGTTGTATTAGTTTGATGAAATCCCAGAGACAACACGGTGCAGTAATATTTACAGTCTACGTGCAGTACTCGTATCTGTATTCAGTATCAGTAAGTACTCACATTAAAGTACTCGTATCTGTATTCAGTATCAGTAAGTACTCACATTAAAGTACTCGTATCTGTATTCAGTATCAGTAAGTACTCACATTAAAGTACTCGTATCTGTATTCAGTATCAGTAAGTACTCACATTAAAGTACTCGTATCTGTATTCAGTATCAGTAAGTACTCACATTAAAGTACTCGTATCTGTATTCAGTATCAGTAAGTACTCACATTAAAGTACTCGTATCTGTATTCAGTATCAGTAAGTACTCACATTAAAGTACTCGTATCTGTATTCAGTATCAGTAAGTACTCACATTAAAGTACTCGTATCTGTATTCAGTATCAGTAAGTACTCACATTAAAGTACTCGTATCTGTATTCAGTATCAGTAAGTACTCACATTAAAGTACTCGTATCTGTATTCAGTATCAGTAAGTACTCACATTAAAGTACTCGTATCTGTATTCAGTATCAGTAAGTACTCACATTAAAGTACTCGTATCTGTATTCAGTATCAGTAAGTACTCACATTAAAGTACTCGTATCTGTATTCAGTATCAGTAAGTACTCACATTAAAGTACTCGTATCTGTATTCAGTATCAGTAAGTACTCACATTAAAGTACTCGTATCTGTATTCAGTATCAGTAAGTACTCACATTAAAGTACTCGTATCTGTATTCAGTATCAGTAAGTACTCACATTAAAGTACTCGTATCTGTATTCAGTATCAGTAAGTACTCACATTAAAGTACTCGTATCTGTATTCAGTATCAGTAAGTACTCACATTAAAGTACTCGTATCTGTATTCAGTATCAGTAAGTACTCACATTAAAGTACTCGTATCTGTATTCAGTATCAGTAAGTACTCACATTAAAGTACTCGTATCTGTATTCAGTATCAGTAAGTACTCACATTAAAGTACTCGTATCTGTATTCAGTATCAGTAAGTACTCACATTAAAGTACTCGTATCTGTATTCAGTATCAGTAAGTACTCACATTAAAGTACTCGTATTGGCTTTGAAAAAAGTGGTATCAGTGAATCTCATAAAAACCACATTTTATTATATTTCTTTTTATTCTTTTTTATTATTATGGATCTTCATTTACATATTTGTTTGATATTAGACACAGTTGTGATTGAATCCAAACCTACTAAAAATACACAGTAAAAAACCTACTTGACAAGTATTTCCACATTTTATACTTTTGGCCCGAGCTGCTCAAGTGTTTTTAAACTTGGCCCAGACCAGGGTTTGACGTTTCCTGTTTAAGGACGGTATAAAAATATGCAAACAGTTCTTACTCTCTCTCCAAACGTCCACAATGCTCTGTGTTTGTACGAGGCTGATTTAATTAACGGAGATAATGAGAGTCATGTGGGATGGAAGAGCGGAGCCTATAGAAAAGTTATGTTCAGTGTTTTCTGTGATTAATGACCGCTGCTCCACAAACGCAATCTCTGTCTTTACTGACGCCCACATCTTAGCTCCGTGACGACGTTATGCTAGCTCTAAAACTGTCTATGTAGATTCAGAACGCAGCAGCTCGAGTCCCGACCGGAACCAGGAAGTACCATCACATTAGTCCTGACGAGAACCAGGAAGTACCATCACATTAGTCCTGACGAGAACCAGGAAGTACCATCACATTAGTCCTGACGAGAACCAGGAAGTACCATCACATTAGTCCTGACGAGAAACAGGAAGTGCCATCACATTAGTCCTGACGAGAACCAGGAAGTACCATCACATTAGTCCTGACTAGAACCAGGAAGTACCATCACATTAGTCCTGACGAGAACCAGGAAGTACCATCACATTAGTCCTGACGAGAACCAGGAAGTACCATCACATTAGTCCTGACGAGAACCAGGAAGTACCATCACATTAGTCCTGACGAGAAACAGGAAGTGCCATCACATTAGTCCTGACGAGAACCAGGAAGTACCATCACATTAGTCCTGACTAGAACCAGGAAGTACCATCACATTAGTCCTGACGAGAACCAGGAAGTACCATCACATTAGTCCTGACGAGAACCAGGAAGTACCATCACATTAGTCCTGACGAGAACCAGGAAGTACCATCAAATTAGTCCTGAGGAGATCCAGGAAGTACCATCAAATTAGTCCTGACGAGAAACAGGAAGTACCATCGCCTTACTCAGATAATAGACTTTAGTCTTTCCATGGCCTCGCACAAGAGTACATCTGTGACCTGTTAGTGTCATATGGACCAACTCTGAGGAGCACAGGGACTGGTCTAGTGCTGGGACTCTGAGGAGCACAGGGACTGGCCTCCTGCTGGGACTCTGAGGAGCACAGGGACTGGCCTCCTGCTGGGACTCTGAGGAGCACAGGGACTGGACTCCTGCTGGGACTCTGAGGAGCACAGGGACTGGCCTCCTGCTGGGACTCTGAGGAGCACAGGGACTGGACTCCTGCTGGGACTCTGAGGAGCACAGGGACTGGACTCCTGCTGGGCCTCTGAGGAGCACAGGGACTGGCCTCCTGCTGGGCCTCTGAGGAGCACAGGGACTGGCCTCCTGCTGGGACTCTGAGGAGCACAGGGACTGGCCTCCTGCTGGGACTCTGAGGAGCACAGGGACAGGACTCCTGCTGGGACTCTGAGGAGCACAGGGACTGGCCTCCTGCTGGGACTCTGAGGAGCACAGGGACTGGACTCCTGCTGAGACTCTGAGGAGCACAGGGACTGGACTCCTGCTGGGACTCTGAGGAGCACAGGGACTGGCCTCCTGCTGGGACTCTGAGGAGCACAGGGACTGGACTCCTGCTGGGACTCTGAGGAGCACAGGGACTGGCCTCCTGCTGGGACTCTGAGGAGCACAGGGACTGGCCTCCTGCTGGGACTCTGAGGAGCACAGGGACTGGCCTCCTGCTGGGACTCTGAGGAGCACAGGGACTGGTCTCCTGCTGGGACTCTGAGGAGCACAGGGACTGGACTCCTGCTGGGACTCTGAGGAGCACAGGGACTGGACTCCTGCTGGGACTCTGAGGAGCACAGGGACTGGACTCCTGCTGGGACTCTGAGGAGCACAGGGACAGGACTCCTGCTGGGACTGAGGAGCACAGGGACTGGCCTCCTGCTGGGACTCTGAGGAGCACAGGGACTGGCCTCCTGCTGGGACTCTGAGGAGCACAGGGACTGGCCTCCTGCTGGGACTCTGAGGAGCACAGGGACTGGCCTCCTGCTGGGACTCTGAGGAGCACAGGGACTGGCCTCCTGCTGGGACTCTGAGGAGCACAGGGACTGGCCTCCTGCTGGGACTCTGAGGAGCACAGGGACTGGACTCCTGCTGGGACTCTGAGGAGCACAGGGACTGGCCTCCTGCTGGGACTCTGAGGAGCACAGGGACTGGTCTAGTGCTGGGACTCTGAGGAGCACAGGGACTGGACTCCTGCTGGGACTCTGAGGAGCACAGGGACTGGCCTCCTGCTGGGACTCTGAGGAGCACAGGGACTGGCCTCCTGCTGGGACTCTGAGGAGCACAGAGACTGGCCTCCTGCTGGGACTCTGAGGAGCACAGGGACTGGCCTCCTGCTGGGACTCTGAGGAGCACAGGGACTGGCCTCCTGCTGGGACTCTGGGGAGCACAGGGACTGGCCTCCTGCTGGGACTCTGAGGAGCACAGGGACTGGACTCCTGCTGGGACTCTGAGGAGCACAGGGACTGGACTCCTGCTGGGACTCTGAGGAGCACAGGGACTGGCCTCCTGCTGGGACTCTGAGGAGCACAGGGACTGGCCTCCTGCTGGGACTCTGAGGAGCACAGGGACTGGGCTCCTGCTGGGACTCTGAGGAGCACAGGGACTGGCCTCCTGCTGGGACTCTGAGGAGCACAGGGACTGGTCTCCTGCTGGGACTCTGAGGAGCACAGGGACTGGCCTCCTGCTGGGACTCTGAGGAGCACAGGGACTGGCCTCCTGCTGGGACTCTGAGGAGCACAGGGACTGGTCTCCTGCTGGGACTCTGAGGAGCACAGGGACTGGCCTCCTGCTGGGACTCTGAGGAGCACAGGGACTGGCCTCCTCCTGGGACTCTGAGGAGCACAGGGACTGGCCTCCTGCTGGGACTCTGAGGAGCACAGGGACTGGGCTCCTGCTGGGACTCTGAGGAGCACAGGGACTGGCCTCCTGCTGGGACTCTGAGGAGCACAGGGACTGGTCTAGTGCTGGGACTCTGAGGAGCACAGGGACTGGGCTCCTGCTGGGACTCTGAGGAGCACAGGGACTGGTCTAGTGCTGGGACTCTGAGGAGCACAGGGACTGGCCTCCTGCTGGGACTCTGAGGAGCACAGGGACTGGCCTCCTGCTGGGACTCTGAGGAGCACAGGGACTGGCCTCCTGCTGGGACTCTGAGGAGCACAGGGACTGGCCTCCTGCTGGGACTCTGAGGAGCACAGGGACTGGTCTAGTGCTGGGACTCTGAGGAGCACAGGGACTGGACTCCTGCTGGGACTCTGAGGAGCACAGGGACTGGCCTCCTGCTGGGACTCTGAGGAGCACAGGGACTGGTCTAGTGCTGGGACTCTGAGGAGCACAGGGACTGGACTCCTGCTGGGACTCTGAGGAGCACAGGGACTGGTCTCCTGCTGGGACTCTGAGGAGCACAGGGACTGGCCTCCTGCTGGACTCTGAGGAGCACAGGGACTGGCCTCCTGCTGGGACTCTGAGGAGCACAGGGACTGGCCTCCTGCTGGGACTCTGAGGAGCACAGGGACTGGACTCCTGCTGGGACTCTGAGGAGCACAGGGACTGGTCTCCTGCTGGGACTCTGAGGAGCACAGGGACTGGTCTCCTGCTGGGACTCTGAGGAGCACAGGGACTGGCCTCCTGCTGGGACTCTGAGGAGCACAGGGACTGGCCTCCTGCTGGGAGGTATGGTAGGTAGGTCCTTGTGTATGAACTGTGCTATACAAATAAACTTGCCTTGGACAGTGCTTTATTGTGAGAACTAAACTCAGAGAAACGGTTTCACTTTCTTAAAAAAGTTTTTAATTTGATCCTGATCATTTTGGACGAACAGTAATAAATCTTTGGGAGTTACTTTCTACACACGACGTTCTCTGCAATAAACTCTGAGAAAATAATCTAATTATTCACTTTTCCAAACTTAACATCAGCTCCTGCTTCATTCTCAGGAAATGTTCTAAATATTAAAATGATAAAAACGTTTGTATAGTTAGTGTTAGATTCTGCCTCTGGGTCTCTGTGTGGAGTTTGCATGTTCTCCCTCTGTATTTTACCCTGAGACCCAGACAGACAAAAAGTTGTCAAAAAAAAAAAGATCCGTTTTATTTATTTTTTGGTCAATGAGGACAGGTAACTTTATAACCGCTTATGCTAACCCAGTGCTAACCTCCTCCTCCTCCACAGGTGCGCGGCGTGCTAACCCAGTGCTAACCTCCTCCTCCTCCACAGGTGCGCGGCGTGCTAACCCAGTGCTAACCTCCTCCACAGGTGCGCGGCGTGCTAACCCAGTGCTAACCTCCTCCTCCACAGGTGCGCGGCGTGCTAACCCAGTGCTGACCTCCTCCTCCACAGGTGCGCGGCGTGCTAACCCAGTGCTGACCTCCTCCTCCACAGGTGCGCGGCGTGCTAACCCAGTGCTAACCTCCTCCACAGGTGCGCGGCGTGCTAACCCAGTGCTAACCTCCTCCTCCTCCACAGGTGCGCGGCGTGCTAACCCAGTGCTAACCTCCTCCTCCTCCACAGGTGCGCGGCGTGCTAACCCAGTGCTAACCTCCTCCTCCTCCACAGGTGCGCGGCGTGCTAACCCAGTGCTAACCTCCTCCTCCTCCACAGGTGCGCGGCGTGCTAACCCAGTGCTAACCTCCTCCTCCACAGGTGCGCGGCGTGCTAACCCAGTGCTAACCTCCTCCTCCTCCACAGGTGCGCGGCGTGCTAACCCAGTGCTAACCTCCTCCTCCTCCACAGGTGCGCGGCGTGCTAACCCAGTGCTAACCTCCTCCTCCACAGGTGCGCGGCGTGCTAACCCAGTGCTAACCTCCTCCTCCTCCACAGGTGCGCGGCGTGCTAACCCAGTGCTAACCTCCTCCTCCTCCACAGGTGCGCGGCGTGCTAACCCAGTGCTAACCTCCTCCTCCTCCACAGGTGCGCGGCGTGCTAACCCAGTGCTAACCTCCTCCTCCTCCACAGGTGCGCGGCGTGCTAACCCAGTGCTAACCTCCTCCTCCTCCACAGGTGCGCGGCGTGCTAACCCAGTGCTAACCTCCTCCTCCTCCACAGGTGCGCGGCGTGCTAACCCAGTGCTAACCTCCTCCTCCTCCACAGGTGCGCGGCGTGCTAACCCAGTGCTAACCTCCTCCTCCACAGGTGCGCGGCGTGCTAACCCAGTGCTAACCTCCTCCTCCTCCACAGGTGCGCGGCGTGCTAACCCAGTGCTAACCTCCTCCTCCACAGGTGCGCGGCGTGCTAACCCAGTGCTAACCTCCTCCTCCTCCACAGGTGCGCGGCGTGCTAACCCAGTGCTAACCTCCTCCTCCTCCACAGGTGCGCGGCGTGCTAACCCAGTGCTAACCTCCTCCTCCTCCACAGGTGCGCGGCGTGCTAACCCAGTGCTAACCTCCTCCTCCACAGGTGCGCGGCGTGCTAACCCAGTGCTAACCTCCTCCTCCTCCACAGGTGCGCGGCGTGCTAACCCAGTGCTAACCTCCTCCTCCTCCACAGGTGCGCGGCGTGCTAACCCAGTGCTAACCTCCTCCTCCTCCCAGGTGCGCGGCGTGCTAACCCAGTGCTAACCTCCTCCTCCTCCACAGGTGCGCGGCGTGCTAACCCAGTGCTAACCTCCTCCACAGGTGCGCGGCGTGCTAACCCAGTGCTAACCTCCTCCTCCTCCTCCACAGGTGCGCGGCGTGCTAACCCAGTGCTAACCTCCTCCTCCTCCACAGGTGCGCGGCGTGCTAACCCAGTGCTAACCTCCTCCTCCACAGGTGCGCGGCGTGCTAACCCAGTGCTAACCTCCTCCTCCTCCACAGGTGCGCGGCGTGCTAACCCAGTGCTAACCTCCTCCTCCTCCACAGGTGCGCGGCGTGCTAACCCAGTGCTAACCTCCTCCTCCTCCACAGGTGCGCGGCGTGCTAACCCAGTGCTAACCTCCTCCTCCTCCACAGGTGCGCGGCGTGCTAACCCAGTGCTAACCTCCTCCTCCTCCACAGGTGCGCGGCGTGCTAACCCAGTGCTAACCTCCTCCTCCTCCACAGGTGCGCGGCGTGCTAACCCAGTGCTAACCTCCTCCTCCTCCACAGGTGCGCGGCGTGCTAACCCAGTGCTAACCTCCTCCTCCACAGGTGCGCGGCGTGCTAACCCAGTGCTAACCTCCTCCTCCTCCACAGGTGCGCGGCGTGCTAACCCAGTGCTAACCTCCTCCTCCTCCACAGGTGCGCGGCGTGCTAACCCAGTGCTAACCTCCTCCTCCACAGGTGCGCGGCGTGCTAACCCAGTGCTAACCTCCTCCTCCTCCACAGGTGCGCGGCGTGCTAACCCAGTGCTAACCTCCTCCTCCTCCACAGGTGCGCGGCGTGCTAACCCAGTGCTAACCTCCTCCTCCTCCACAGGTGCGCGGCGTGCTAACCCAGTGCTAACCTCCTCCTCCTCCACAGGTGCGCGGCGTGCTAACCCAGTGCTAACCTCCTCCTCCTCCACAGGTGCGCGGCGTGCTAACCCAGTGCTAACCTCCTCCTCCACAGGTGCGCGGCGTGCTAACCCAGTGCTAACCTCCTCCTCCTCCACAGGTGCGCGGCGTGCTAACCCAGTGCTAACCTCCTCCTCCACAGGTGCGCGGCGTGCTAACCCAGTGCTAACCTCCTCCTCCTCCACAGGTGCGCGGCGTGCTAACCCAGTGCTAACCTCCTCCTCCTCCACAGGTGCGCGGCGTGCTAACCCAGTGCTAACCTCCTCCTCCTCCACAGGTGCGCGGCGTGCTAACCCAGTGCTAACCTCTCCTCCTCCACAGGTGCGCGGCGTGCTAACCCAGTGCTAACCTCCTCCTCCTCCACAGGTGCGCGGCGTGCTAACCCAGTGCTAACCTCCTCCTCCTCCACAGGTGCGCGGCGTGCTAACCCAGTGCTAACCTCCTCCTCCACAGGTGCGCGGCGTGCTAACCCAGTGCTAACCTCCTCCTCCTCCACAGGTGCGCGGCGTGCTAACCCAGTGCTAACCTCCTCCTCCACAGGTGCGCGGCGTGCTAACCCAGTGCTAACCTCCTCCTCCTCCACAGGTGCGCGGCGTGCTAACCCAGTGCTAACCTCCTCCTCCTCCACAGGTGCGCGGCGTGCTAACCCAGTGCTAACCTCCTCCTCCTCCACAGGTGCGCGGCGTGCTAACCCAGTGCTAACCTCCTCCTCCTCCACAGGTGCGCGGCGTGCTAACCCAGTGCTAACCTCCTCCTCCTCCACAGGTGCGCGGCGTGCTAACCCAGTGCTAACCTCCTCCTCCTCCACAGGTGCGCGGCGTGCTAACCCAGTGCTAACCTCCTCCTCCTCCACAGGTGCGCGGCGTGCTAACCCAGTGCTAACCTCCTCCTCCTCCACAGGTGCGCGGCGTGCTAACCCAGTGCTAACCTCCTCCTCCTCCACAGGTGCGCGGCGTGCTAACCCAGTGCTAACCTCCTCCTCCACAGGTGCGCGGCGTGCTAACCCAGTGCTAACCTCCTCCTCCTCCACAGGTGCGCGGCGTGCTAACCCAGTGCTAACCTCCTCCTCCTCCACAGGTGCGCGGCGTGCTAACCCAGTGCTAACCTCCTCCTCCTCCACAGGTGCGCGGCGTGCTAACCCAGTGCTAACCTCCTCCTCCACAGGTGCGCGGCGTGCTAACCCAGTGCTAACCTCCTCCTCCTCCACAGGTGCGCGGCGTGCTAACCCAGTGCTAACCTCCTCCTCCTCCACAGGTGCGCGGCGTGCTAACCCAGTGCTAACCTCCTCCTCCACAGGTGCGCGGCGTGCTAACCCAGTGCTAACCTCCTCCTCCACAGGTGCGCGGCGTGCTAACCCAGTGCTAACCTCCTCCACAGGTGCGCGGCGTGCTAACCCAGTGCTAACCTCCTCCACAGGTGCGCGGCGTGCTAACCCAGTGCTAACCTCCTCCTCCTCCACAGGTGCGCGGCGTGCTAACCCAGTGCTAACCTCCTCCACAGGTGCGCGGCGTGCTAACCCAGTGCTAACCTCCTCCACAGGTGCGCGGCGTGCTAACCCAGTGCTAACCTCCTCCACAGGTGCGCGGCGTGCTAACCCAGTGCTAACCTCCTCCTCCTCCACAGGTGCGCGGCGTGCTAACCCAGTGCTAACCTCCTCCTCCTCCACAGGTGCGCGGCGTGCTAACCCAGTGCTAACCTCCTCCTCCTCCACAGGTGCGCGGCGTGCTAACCCAGTGCTAACCTCCTCCACAGGTGCGCGGCGTGCTAACCCAGTGCTAACCTCCTCCACAGGTGCGCGGCGTGCTAACCCAGTGCTAACCTCCTCCTCCTCCACAGGTGCGCGGCGTGCTAACCCAGTGCTAACCTCCTCCTCCTCCACAGGTGCGCGGCGTGCTAACCCAGTGCTAACCTCCTCCTCCTCCACAGGTGCGCGGCGTGCTAACCCAGTGCTAACCCCTCCCCTCCACAGGTGCGCGGCGTGCTAACCCAGTGCTAACCTCCTCCTCCTCCACAGGTGCGCGGCGTGCTAACCCAGTGCTAACCTCCTCCTCCTCCACAGGTGCGCGGCGTGCTAACCCAGTGCTAACCTCCTCCTCCACAGGTGCGCGGCGTGCTAACCCAGTGCTAACCTCCTCCTCCTCCACAGGTGCGCGGCGTGCTAACCCAGTGCTAACCTCCTCCTCCTCCACAGGTGCGCGGCGTGCTAACCCAGTGCTAACCTCCTCCTCCTCCACAGGTGCGCGGCGTGCTAACCCAGTGCTAACCTCCTCCTCCTCCACAGGTGCGCGGCGTGCTAACCCAGTGCTAACCTCCTCCTCCACAGGTGCGCGGCGTGCTAACCCAGTGCTAACCTCCTCCTCCTCCACAGGTGCGCGGCGTGCTAACCCAGTGCTAACCTCCTCCTCCACAGGTGCGCGGCGTGCTAACCCAGTGCTAACCTCCTCCTCCTCCACAGGTGCGCGGCGTGCTAACCCAGTGCTAACCTCCTCCACAGGTGCGCGGCGTGCTAACCCAGTGCTAACCTCCTCCTCCTCCACAGGTGCGCGGCGTGCTAACCCAGTGCTAACCTCCTCCTCCACAGGTGCGCGGCGTGCTAACCCAGTGCTAACCTCCTCCTCCTCCACAGGTGCGCGGCGTGCTAACCCAGTGCTAACCTCCTCCTCCTCCACAGGTGCGCGGCGTGCTAACCAGTGCTAACCTCCTCCTCCTCCACAGGTGCGCGGCGTGCTAACCCAGTGCTAACCTCCTCCTCCTCCACAGGTGCGCGGCGTGCTAACCCAGTGCTAACCTCCTCCTCCTCCACAGGTGCGCGGCGTGCTAACCCAGTGCTAACCTCCTCCTCCTCCACAGGTGCGCGGCGTGCTAACCCAGTGCTAACCTCCTCCTCCTCCACAGGTGCGCGGCGTGCTAACCCAGTGCTAACCTCCTCCTCCTCCACAGGTGCGTGGCGTGCTAACCCAGTGCTAACCTCCTCCTCCTCCACAGGTGCGCTTATGCTAACCCAGTGCTAACCTCCTCCACACAGGTGCGCGGCGTGCTAACCCAGTGCTAACCTCCTCCTCCACAGGTGCGCGGCGTGCTAACCCAGTGCTAACCTCCTCCACAGGTGCGCGGCGTGCTAACCCAGTGCTAACCTCCTCCTCCACAGGTGCGCGGCGTGCTAACCCAGTGCTAACCTCCTCCTCCTCCACAGGTGCGCGGCGTGCTAACCCAGTGCTAACCTCCTCCTCCACAGGTGCGCGGCGTGCTAACCCAGTGCTAACCTCCTCCTCCTCCACAGGTGCGCGGCGTGCTAACCCAGTGCTAACCTCCTCCTCCACAGGTGCGCGGCGTGCTAACCCAGTGCTAACCTCCTCCTCCTCCACAGGTGCGCGGCGTGCTAACCCAGTGCTAACCTCCTCCTCCTCCACAGGTGCGCGGCGTGCTAACCCAGTGCTAACCTCCTCCTCCTCCACAGGTGCGCGGCGTGCTAACCCAGTGCTAACCTCCTCCTCCTCCACAGGTGCGCGGCGTGCTAACCCAGTGCTAACCTCCTCCTCCTCCACAGGTGCGCGGCGTGCTAACCCAGTGCTAACCTCCTCCTCCTCCACAGGTGCGCGGCGTGCTAACCCAGTGCTAACCTCCTCCTCCTCCACAGGTGCGCGGCGTGCTAACCCAGTGCTGACCTCCTCCTCCTCCACAGGTGCGCGGCGTGCTAACCCAGTGCTAACCTCCTCCTCCTCCACAGGTGCGCGGCGTGCTAACCCAGTGCTAACCTCCTCCTCCACAGGTGCGCGGCGTGCTAACCCAGTGCTAACCTCCTCCTCCTCCACAGGTGCGCGGCGTGCTAACCCAGTGCTAACCTCCTCCTCCACAGGTGCGCGGCGTGCTAACCCAGTGCTGACCTCCTCCTCCACAGGTGCGCGGCGTGCTAACCCAGTGCTGACCTCCTCCTCCACAGGTGCGCGGCGTGCTAACCCAGTGCTAACCCAGTGCTAACCTCCTCCACAGGTGCGCGGCGTGCTAACCCAGTGCTAACCTCCTCCTCCTCCACAGGTGCGCGGCGTGCTAACCCAGTGCTAACCTCCTCCTCCTCCACAGGTGCGCGGCGTGCTAACCCAGTGCTAACCTCCTCCTCCTCCACAGGTGCGCGGCGTGCTAACCCAGTGCTAACCTCCTCCTCCTCCACAGGTGCGCGGCGTGCTAACCCAGTGCTAACCTCCTCCTCCTCCACAGGTGCGCGGCGTGCTAACCCAGTGCTAACCTCCTCCTCCTCCACAGGTGCGCGGCGTGCTAACCCAGTGCTAACCTCCTCCTCCTCCACAGGTGCGCGGCGTGCTAACCCAGTGCTAACCTCCTCCTCCTCCACAGGTGCGCGGCGTGCTAACCCAGTGCTAACCTCCTCCTCCTCCACAGGTGCGCGGCGTGCTAACCCAGTGCTAACCTCCTCCTCCTCCACAGGTGCGCGGCGTGCTAACCCAGTGCTAACCTCCTCCTCCTCCACAGGTGCGCGGCGTGCTAACCCAGTGCTGACCTCCTCCTCCTCCACAGGTGCGCGGCGTGCTAACCCAGTGCTAACCTCCTCCTCCTCCACAGGTGCGCGGCGTGCTAACCCAGTGCTAACCTCCTCCTCCTCCACAGGTGCGCGGCGTGGGGCCTCTCTCCCGCAGAGGCTTCTACCTGGCGTTCCAGGACATCGGCGCCTGCATCGCGCTCACCTCGGTGCGGGTCTACTACAAACGCTGCGTGGGCGTGAGCCGGAACCTGGCCGTGTTCACCGACGTGGTGACGGGCGCAGACTCGTCCTCTCTGGTGGAGGTCAGAGGTCAGTGTGTGGACCATGCGGAGCAGAGGGACTCTCCAAAGATGTACTGCAGCGCGGAGGGAGAGTGGCTGGTTCCCATCGGCCGCTGCGTCTGCTCCGCCGGCTTCGAGGAGCACCGCGACTCCTGCGTCGGTGAGTCCACTTAGCTACTTGGTTAGTTAGTTGTATTATTGGTTAGTTATTTGTATTATTGGTTAGTTAGTTGTATTATTGGTTAGTTAGTTGTATTATTGGTTAGTTAGTTGTATTATTGGTTAGTTAGTTGTATTATTGGTTAGTTAGTTGTATTATTGGTTAGTTAGTTGTATTATTGGTTAGTTAGTTGTATTATTGGTTAGTTAGTTGTATTATTGGTTAGTTAGTTGTATTATTGGTTAGTTAGTTGTATTATTGGTTAGTTAGTTGTATTATTGGTTAGTTAGTTGTATTATTGGTTAGTTAGTTGTATTATTGGTTAGTTAGAAGTATTATTGGTTAGTTAGTTGTATTATTGGTTAGTTAGTTGTATTATTGGTTAGTTAGTTGTATTATTGGTTAGTTAGAAGTATTATTGGTTAGTTAGAAGTATTATTGGTTAGTTATTTGTATTATTGGTTAGTTATTTGTATTATTGGTTAGTTAGAAGTATTATTGGTTAGTTAGTTGTATTATTGGTTAGTTATTTGTATTATTGGTTAGTTATTTGTATTATTGGTTAGTTATTTGTATTATTGGTTAGTTAGTTGTATTATTGGTTAGTTATTTGTATTATTGGTTAGTTAGTTGTATTATTGGTTAGTTATTTGTATTATTGGTTAGTTAGTTGTATTATTGGTTAGTTAGTTGTATTATTGGTTAGTTAGAAGTATTATTGGTTAGTTATTTGTATTATTGGTTAGTTATTTGTATTATTGGTTAGTTAGAAGTATTATTGGTTAGTTAGTTGTATTATTGGTTAGTTATTTGTATTATTGGTTAGTTATTTGTATTATTGGTTAGTTATTTGTATTATTGGTTAGTTAGTTGTATTATTGGTTAGTTAGTTGTATTATTGGTTAGTTAGTCGTATTATTGGTTAGTTAGTTGTATTATTGGTTAGTTAGTTGTATTATTGGTTAGTTAGTTGTATTATTGGTTAGTTAGAAGTATTATTGGTTAGTTAGAAGTATTATTGGTTAGTTATTTGTATTATTGGTTAGTTATTTGTATTATTGGTTAGTTATTTGTATTATTGGTTAGTTATTTGTATTATTGGTTAGTTAGTTGTATTATTGGTTAGTTAGTTGTATTATTGGTTAGTTAGTTGTATTATTGGTTAGTTAGTTGTATTATTGGTTAGTTAGTTGTATTATTGGTTAGTTATTTGTATTATTGGTTAGTTAGTTGTATTATTGGTTAGTTAGTTGTATTATTGGTTAGTTAGTTGTATTACTGGTTAGTTAGTTGTATTATTGGTTAGTTGTATTATTGGTTAGTTGTATTATTGGTTAGTTAGTTGTATTATTGGTTAGTTAGTTGTATTATTGGTTAGTTAGTTGTATTATTGGTTAGTTAGTTGTATTATTGGTTAGTCATTTGTATTATTGGTTAGTTAGTTGTATTATTGGTTAGTTAGTTGTATTATTGGTTAGTTAGTTGTATTATTGGTTAGTTATTTGTATTATTGGTTAGTTGTATTATTGGTTAGTTAGTTGTATTATTGGTTAGTTAGTTGTATTATTGGTTAGTTAGTTGTATTATTGGTTAGTTAGTTGTATTATTGGTTAGTTAGTTGTATTATTGGTTAGTTAGTTGTATTATTGGTTAGTTAGTTGTATTATTGGTTAGTTAGTTGTATTATTGGTTAGTTAGTTGTATTATTGGTTAGTTAGTTGTATTATTGGTTAGTTAGTTGTATTATTGGTTAGTTAGTTGTATTATTGGTTAGTTAGTTGTATTGTTGGTTAGTTAGTTGTATTATTGGTTAGTTAGTTGTATTATTGGTTAGTTAGTTGTATTATTGGTTAGTTGTATTATTGGTTAGTTAGTTGTATTATTGGTTAGTTAGTTGTATTATTGGTTAGTTGTATTATTGGTTAGTTAGTTGTATTATTGGTTAGTTAGTTGTATTATTGGTTAGTTGTATTATTGGTTAGTCAGTTGTATTATTGGTTAGTTGTATTATTGGTTAGTTATTTGTATTATTGGTTAGTTAGTTGTATTATTGGTTAGTTAATTGTATTATTGGTTAGTTAGTTGTATTATTGGTTAGTTAGAAGTATTATTGGTTAGTTATTTGTATTATTGGTTAGTTAGTTGTATTATTGGTTAGTTATTTGTATTATTGGTTAGTTAGTTGTATTATTGGTTAGTTGGTTGTATTATTGGTTAGTTAGTTGTATTATTGGTTAGTTAGTTGTATTATTGGTTAGTTAGTTGTATTATTGGTTAGTTAGTTGTATTATTGGTTAGTTAGTTGTATTATTGGTTAGTCAGTTGTATTATTGGTTAGTCAGTTGTATTATTGGTTAGTTGTATTATTGGTTAGTTAGTTGTATTATTGGTTAGTTAGTTGTATTATTGGTTAGTTAGTCGTATTATTGGTTAGTTATTTGTATTATTGGTTAGTTAGTTGTATTATTGGTTAGTTAGTTGTATTATTGGTTAGTTAGTTGTATTATTGGTTAGTTAGTTGTATTATTGGTTAGTTAGTTGTATTGTTGGTTAGTTAGTTGTATTATTGGTTAGTCAGTTGTATTATTGGTTAGTCAGTTGTATTATTGGTTAGTCAGTTGTATTATTGGTTAGTCAGTTGTATTATTGGTTAGTTGTATTATTGGTTAGTTAGTTGTATTATTGGTTAGTTATTTGTATTATTGGTTAGTTTGTTGTATTATTGGTTAGTTATTTGTATTATTGGTCAGTTAGTTGTATTATTGGTTAGTTATTTGTATTATTGGTTAGTTTGTTGTATTATTGGTTAGTTATTTGTATTATTGGTCAGTTAGTTGTATTATTGGTTAGTTGGTCGGTTACTTTTTATTGTACATAATTATATCCTGCACAAACTAATCCAATCCACTTTATTTATATAGCACATTTCATAAACACGCAGTTTCCAAAGTGCTGCACAACGTGCAAAATGGCAACAAATAAATACACACATTTATATTAAAAAAATAAAAATAAAAACACAGAGGACCACACGACTCACGCGGTGTTAAAAGCCAGAGAATAAAAGTGGGTCTTAAGACGTGACTTAAAACATTCCAGCCCCAGAGAAGGCCCTGTCCCCGGGTTTTAAGTCTCGTCTCAGGGACCTCGAGCTGGACCTGGCCCTCGGACCTCAGCGGATGGAGGATGGTACATTTGGATGAGGTCCGAGATGTAAGGAGGGGCCAGTCCTTTCAGAGCTTTAAAAACAAACAATAAAATCTTAAAATCTATTCTAAAATGAACAGGAAGCCAGTGCAAGGACAGGAGTGATGTGGTCACGCTTTTTGGTTCCTGTTAAACCGTGCCGCAAAGTTCTGGACTAACTGTAGCCGGTATAACTATATTTTAAACCTTTAACATGTTGCACACTTTTATCTGTTTGCACAATCTGAGTGATTCTATCTGTGCCACAATAAAGTTTATCTTATCTTACTTATCAGAGCTGGCTGATTGTAAGCTAGCTGGCCGGTTAATTAGCTAGTTGTCAGGCTAGTAAGATAGTTGGCCGTTTCTTTAGTTAGCTAGTTGGGTGGGTAGTTTAGTTAGATAGATACTTTATTGATCCCCTGTAGGAGAAATTCAGGTGTGCAGCAGCAGAAGACTCTTTTATTTTATTTTTTTGTACAGTCAGTCAGGTTTGTTGTACAGTCTGACAGCTAAAGGAACAAAGGATCTCTCGAAAGGTTCCGTTCGGCAGCGTAGTGATAGGAGCCTGTTGCTTCGATGACTCCTCTGAGCGGCCATAATGTCATGCAGAGGGTTCTGGAGTTTGGAGATTAGTTAGCTAGTTGGCTGTTAGTTAGCTGGTTTACCGTGTCAGTATCTCATCTTTATTTAAACAGCGTTCGGTAAAATGCTTTCTGTTTAAAAGAACACTGCATTCATCATTTGTTTATTTATTTTTACTATACAAATATATTTTGTGTGTTGGATGCTCTGGGTTAGCTCTGCGTTAGCTGCTTTTGGTGTAGCGATGCGTTTGGAAGATGCTAGCCTAGCCGCGGATGCTAACACAGTCTGTTTGAAGCTGTTGTCGAGGAGACGGTCACTCTTTGGTCAAACGCCGCTTGCCGCTGAATGTCCTGCCCTTTCACCCCCCGCCCCATCCCCGACCCCCGAGCCGGACCGGGGCGTGATCCAGGTTGCCACGGGTTACGGTAATCAGAAGCTATTAATCACGACCCGCGGATAATTAAACGCTAAAAGCAGTTTGTCAGCTAAACGAGCTGGACGCGTCGCTACGCAACTCTGTGTGTGTGTGTGTCTGTGTGTGTCTGTACACCTGAGTGGAGGCCAACAGGTCCTGGGTCAGAGTGTGTGTGAGTGTGTGTCTATCTGTGTGTACACCCAAGTGGAGGCCGTCAGGGTCCTGGGCTAAATGTGTGTGTCTGTGTGTCTGTGTGTGTCTCAAGCCCGCTGCTTAAAAGGCCTGTTTTAATTAGTTGCAGATAATTATCATCGGAGCAGGAGCAAAGCCATTAGGAGCAGAAGTGTGTGTCCTGAAGTGTGTGTGTGTGTGTCCTGAAGTGTGTGTGTGTGTGTCCTGAAGTGTGTGTGTGTGTGTCCTGGAGAAAACCTGTCAGTTGGATACTTCCCAGTAACCACACACTGTTAGACACAGTTTGACTTAAACTTGACAGTAGAGGACAGTGTGTGTGTGTGTGTGTGTGTCTGTGTGTGTGTCTGTGTGTGTGTGTGTGTGTCTGTGTGTGTGTGTCTGTGTGTGTGTCTGTGTCTGTGTGTGGGTTTCCGGCCGAGGCTCCGGTCTCTTTAAACAGTTCTCGTGTCGCCCTAAATCACAACAGTAGTTACCTCTGAGGACTTAAAGCTGCTGATTCACCAACAACAGATCAGAGAATCAAACACTAGTAATGTAATGACACCAAACCAAGCCCCGGTGATCCAAGATGGCCCCGGTGATCCAAGATGGCCCCGGTGATCCAAGATGGCCCCGGTGATCCAAGATGGCCCC